TCATAGTGGTTGGATGTATCCCGCTCGTCATTTCGATGTGGCGAGCGAGCACCCACCCTAGAGACCGCCATCCAGCAGGGCAGTATCTCCATGGCGACCCTGGTAGCAACAAAGGTACTCGAAAATGTAGGTAACAGGGCCGTGACATCTCTGGCGTCTTCAGCGGTTACTGCGACCTTGCCTGTTTGGTTCTTACACATCACTACTAGGTGGTTGGGTTGGCCACACCTGTAGCACTGGAACCTCTTCTTGGAGACCCAACATCGATGATTCGGGCCGACCATTCGCCACACTGTTGGCACTGGGTTAACCGGACCAAAGGGGTTCTCCGGTCGGTGGTGCGTCTCGCGGCGGCTCTGCTACCATTGGTGTGTGGTTGTCGGTAACCGGTGTCGTCTGCGTCAGGTCTTCTACGGTCGGTGGTGGCGGCCTTCTTGTGTGTGGTTCGAGTGGTCCTGCCAGCGGTCGAGGGGTGTAAACTCTTCCTCTTCTAGCGCTGGTTCGTGCTCTTGATGTCCCTCACCGTTTCTCTCTGCTCTCCTCGCTCGGTCTGGTCTTGCTTCTGGCCTTCGATTTTGTGCCGCGTGTGCGCTGACGGTAGGTGGGCCCTCCCCAGCTGATGAGTGTCTGGTCGCCTGTTGTGAGCGTTCCAGCTTGGCAACCCGTTTGGTGAGGTCATCCGTCTCGGACGTTGAGGCCGTCCTTCTCTTGTCGTGCTCTCTCTTGTTACCTACATTTTCGAGTACCTTTGTTGCTACCAGGGTCGCTGGATGGCGGTCTCTAGGTGGGTGCTCGCTCGCCACATCGAAATGACGAGCGGGATACATCCAACCACTATGAGGGGCCTGAGGCCGCCCTTCAGCCACTTCCAGAGGTTGTGTAGTCGGCCCTTTGCTATGTGGGTAATGGCAAGCAGAAACAGGGCTTGCCATACGCGCTTCTCGAGCGCGTCGGTCCATTGCTGAGCTGGAAGCCGAGGTATGCCAGCTTTACGAACTTGTCATCTCCTTTCTGCTGGAAGATTGGGAGCTTCTTACAATCCTCGCAGTAATCCCCTACCACCACTGCGTACCCTTGAGGCCTTGCAGTAGGGTAGATTTGCCGAGACAGGCTGTACCGTCGACCATCGTGGTCACTTCGAATTGATTCGGCGACCGCGAGAGTAAGTCATTAACATTGTTCTCTCCGACTCCAAATTTTTTTTTTGTGTGTGCGCCTTGTGTGCGCTTTAC